GGCGCAATTATAGACTAATGGCAGGTGGCAAGTGCAGATTCCGCCCACTGGAGATAGGATAAGCGCAAAAATTGTTTCTTTAAACTAGAGCGTTCAAATTTGGGAAGAATACAGGAGGTTATAAGGGGTGCGCTTCGTTGCGCGCGTTCGTCGAAACTAGGTCACGTCACCGCCCGCCAGGTCAGCCCGCGATACTTGGCGGACGCCGCAGTTGTCACTGGGGCATACGATTTGCGCTTAGTCCATGGCGAACAGCTCAAAGAGAAGATAACACGGACAAATGCAAATCACTCGTTCCACTGACACTTGGTGGTACTGTGATGTCATCTTGAGACCTCAGTGGGGTGCGCCGCGCGCGAAGTGGGCGGGTTGACCTACTTTCGACGGACGCGCGCAACGGACGTTCTCGCAGGAAACCCTAGTCGCAGGTGGCGGTTGTAAGCCTCGAGAAGTGGGAGCGGGGGAGCGCGAAGGACTAAACACAAGATTATTTCTTTGGGGTTTGAATTTGGAAGGTTTACAGGATACAGGATGGCAGGATGGAAGCACTAATGGCGCGGTGCAGGTTTAGCCTTCGGGAGTGGGGAGGGCGGAAGGGTGTGATTCGAAAAGGGGACTCGAAATCGACAATGCTATTCAAAGGACATCCAGGTTATGCACCGTTACTTTGCTAACTCAAACATGGAACGAACACGTGTGCCAAGATTTCACGCTGTGGGGATGTTGGTCGATACAGCGAGTTGCTATATCGATCTTCTGCGTAATTGACTGACTTCGTCACTGTCTGCACTTTTGTCCTCCTTTGTGGTATAGTGTTCCAACTCCAAGAAAGTTGAGGGGATGTGGTTGCTGTGAACGTAGCCATCGATAGTGATAATAGATTTCGGCTACGATTCTCCGTTCGTACTACTCAATTTGAGGATGCTTCCAAATACTTATGTTTCTCAAGAAGAGGGAAGGAGTAATGACAGACTCAGTAAAGCATTTCTATCTTCACATAAAAAGAAGGAAAACCCGGCGTTTTCCGAGTCATCAACTAGGTTTGGATATAAGGGCAAATTCTCACTAACCATAAGTTAGAGGTCGCATATCGTGACCAAAGCTGTCTATGTATATAGGTGAAGCCGCGACCTTCCTATTCTTCGATTGGATTTTCTCTTCAATCACTCTCAATGTATACATTGAGCTCTGAATTCAAAACTTCATTGTGGTTGATAAGCCAGACTTACCAATTTACAAATTGCCGTTTTGTAATCGCAAAACGTTATCGAGATGTGGTTTTGCAAACGATTCGCCCATGTAGCAACTAGCAACTCCTGGTTTTCTAGCACAACCCACTTCACGCCGTACAAATAGTGAAAGGCTCTGAATAATTATAACCATTCAACTTGACCTCGTTTCATACATACATATGAGCATGAAAGTTCTCATAAAGTTATGACGTCACGAATAATTGTTAATGTTTTATGGATGAGTATGGTCGCACATTTCGGGATGGACATGAGACTGAGACAGCAGACTGGCCGACTATTTACGAAGTTTATTGTTGGAATTGATGCTACTCGATTCACGACTTCGAAATACCAGAGACCATTTTGAAGAGCTGGTGGTTCAACCACTGACAAACTAGTCTTTGATAGATAGCTACAAAGATAAAAAATACAACCACCAGTCCGTGATACGCATATCCATCCCTCAACCCGGAAGGAAGGTTCAATCATGATACGCTCATTGAAACTTACGCATTAGGATAGTTTGAAGCCGCTCGGCTCTATCAGTTTCACCATTACAAAATACAAAAGACAATTTCAAAGCAGGCAAAATGACCCATCTAGACTTATGATCACAAATCTCATCTCCACAAGCAAAAAGGATACTTACGTACTGTCCCTTAATTGTACATCCATCTGCTTAGTATGCCGATCATTCTTGTCCCAGATATTGACAATGTAAGTGGCCAAACGCTTTTCGTGAGTTTTTGGATATGATAACTGTACAACTCTAGGGTAGTTCTCGTTGTGCGGATAGCTATAAAGAGAATTTTTTATAAGTGGGTCCCATCGACTACATAGTTAACTCACCTAACCAACGAGATCGTTTTTTCTTTAGATTTTTCACGGCTCAGATACGCTAGTTTCTTCCCAGAGTCTGACCACCAAATCGCCTACAAGCTTAACTTCATCATATAAACATGCAGAAATTATTTATTACTCTTTTAACTGCTGTGAAGAAGCCAAAAGCTGGAAAAGAGTTGATAGTGCTGTTCCTGTTCTCACCATATTTGAAGGGATTAGAAAGAGGATTCATAGCTGTAAGGCGGCGGTCCAGCTAGTTCACCATGGTGTCAGTACACCCAGCTGAACTGACACAAAGAAATCTTCGAGGGACACCGTAGCTCACTTCTTTCAGGTAAAGTCTGTATTATGCAACATTGCTTGATTAGTTTTGAAGATGACGGGAAAGGTATTTTGGCTGTTTCTCATGCCTTTAGACTCCATAAGGCACAGTAAAGTCGGCTGTTCAACTGTTCGAAGTTAGAGACACGGGGTTGAAAAAAAAACATGAAAAACAGGATTTGAGTGAAAAGAGTCCGTTTTTGAACTTGCTTCGAAGTACCTTTGAATCTCTGCCAAAAATCTCTTCCTCATAGACCCAGTCGAAAAGGCCGTGTTCCCAGTTCGAATCACCACCCGAGATTCTCGATGATGCGGGTGATTCAGCCGAATCGGAATAATACAGATGACCATCCTGCCAATATACCTGAATGAACCATTCCCGTCAATTGTAATACACTTACCAGCATAAAGAGAATAAAAAGTAATTAAATGGTAAGGATGCATAGATATGGGTGACAAAACGTTCTACAACATCTCGCTGCCCGCCTGCCCCTCAGGTAGGTAGGTATCAATTCAAGTGAACATTTTAATCTTCCAAAAAAGACCTAAGCGTGCAATCGAATTGAGGTTTTACATACATTGATAACCCAGCATTTTTATACTCGTCTCAATGGACAGAATACTTGACGATTTCCGCAACAGTGAGAGAGTGATAAAGTATGCAACAAAAGAGGTAAGAAAAAGTAGCATTGATCTCTGAAAATCCCATTAACTGGGATATTAGAGTTCTCATTTGGCATCAGCTCGAAGAGAATGAGAATAAAGCCAGGGTGACTTCCAAGATGTGCTTAGCGTCAAATGAACGTATCTGTAGAAATTGAAAAAAAAAGAAAGGAAATGAATGTAAAGGTTCGGAATAGACTAGTAAAAAGTGAACTAACGTAGTCGTTTCCAGTTGAACACCATCGGAAAATTCGTTGTCTTTCTTGGTCGGTTTTGGCGATACCAACCTTATAGATGAGCCTGAGACAGACGATTTAAAAAACCCTTCTTACCTCCATGGATGACATCTTGACGGTTAATGAACAGAACTTTCAATGCTTCCTCAGACTCTGTCTCTTTCAAGAATCTTCAGAATGATTATTAAATTACTGATGAATAGATGTGGCTTCAAGAAATCTGCTTTTTCCATACCTGAACCAGTCACCCCCCACAAATCTTGAAGGTAGAGTTCAGGATAAAAATGGTTTCTGAGATTTCTCTATAGTACGGAATCGAGGCTCTCCTTTGTACCACACATGCCGTAATAAGGTCTCAAAATTATCTGGATAGGGCACAATAAGGGGCCAGAGATTGTATCGTGAGAATGCCACACCTTGGTGGGCGAGTTTCAATGGCTCTGTAGAGGCTGCACCATCTCAACAGAGTCTTATGTAGGAAGTTCAAACAACTCGACATAATCCATGGCGACAAAGCGAGAAGTTTCGGACAACTTCGGCTCGATGTAGCCATCTCTTTGCGCAACAGAACCAGGTTAAATCTCGTCCGAACACCAGTTTTATGCCACTCCCGTAACGGTTTTCTCGTACAACTCCCACTTTCACTACTTCTGGAAGCTCTGAAGTAGGCGGGTTGTCTTGCTTTCCACCGATGTACTCCTCTACATCAGCACTTCCGTTTTTCAAGCTAAAAAGAGGTACCTCAAATTATCGTGAACTTTGCCTTCAAGGAAAGAGCGATTACGAGAAAGAAGCAGGGAAAGAGCTCTGGGCTCTTGCGAGATTCCAGAAAAGGCGATATGGTTTTTTTCAAACTAAGCTTCGAAAGGATTGGAACACTAGGATGGGTTGGTGTGTGTCGCTTGGCGCATCCCTCACACCTCATTCGACACGGTTTGCCAGCTGGACAACGCGTTCGGGTGATCGAGCAACCTACTGCTCATTCAGCTGATAGAAGCTCGATCGATGACCACAGGCTGATAGGCAGAATACAAGCTGGTCCACAATTCGGCATCTGATAGTAGCGACGTTACCNCCAAAGAGTTCGGCTCATTCCCCACTTGTTTCAACCTGTCCGAGCTGTTCCAGTTGACTTCCAAACTGCACCATATAAGATAGTGTTACAGACAAACAGACTACAAACATACAAACAAACGGACATTTGCGGTTTATATATAGTAAGGATGGATGGGCGCTGGGTTACGCGATTACCCGGACGAGTTGTCCGGTTTCGCAAACCGCGTCGAATGGGCAGCGCCATAGGAGTGATCGTGCTAACGGGTGGAGGAGACCTCGTGCGGAAAGTTCATCCTGCTCTCGTAGAGTCCAAGTCTCCGAGGCGTACGTCAAAGCAGGAAGGACAGCATTGTTGAAAAGGTGAGCGCGGAGCCGGATGATCTTTGCCTTCTTCACTACTCCCTCAGTATTCTTAAATGCTCCCCACGCGGCGCGTTTCCTTCTGCACAACTCCAAAGCTAGGTCGCTCATAATGTCGACTTCCCGACCTAAATACACATAGCTAGAGCGTTCGGAGATATTCGTGCCGTTTAGCGTGAAGGCAGCATTAGGTACCAATCCGTTTTTCATGATTATCGTCTTCGTAAGTTCAGTCTCGAGCCAATCTTTCCACAAGCACTGTCAACTCGGCCAGCATTCGCTCCGCCTGCTCGATGTTCGGTGTAATAAGCAAGATGTCTCTGCAAAACGAAGGCGATGTAGGTAGCGATCGTCGATCTTTACTCCCAAGTCTTCCCATTCCAATGAAGCATGATGTTCTCGAGAGCGGCACTGAAAAGTCTGGGCGAAATTATATCGCCCTGCCGGACACCCCACTTCACGTTGATAATGATTTCCTTGTAGAATGATGAACGTGTCGTAGAGCTCACGAAGCACCTTTGTATATTGAGGAGGAACACCCTGGTTGCCTAGAGCTTCAATTACCGCTTCTGTCTCAATGGATAAGAGCTTTCTTCAAATCGATGAACATAAGAAATAACAGACAGAAAAATAAAGAAAAAAGGGGTAAAGAAGACGACACCTCGTGTCACATAAACGATGCATAGGGGACGGATTTTGGGACCGTTGTGGTTATTGATACACCCTGCTTTAGTGTGGGCTAATTCCTTCGCTAGCTGAACCTCGGAGCGAATTAAGCAAATTCGATCTTGTTCGCTTCTTCATTCAGACTTCGAACGAGATGAAATGAAAGCTCTCGCGAGCTGTAAAAGCTTACCGGGAAACAGTGCTCAGGAATGCCAGAATCAAAAACTGACAACTTACTGCGTTTCTCGGTTTAGAATCTGGATCGAGTATGTCATGTTGAACTTGTCAGCAATCTAGAACACCAATGCATTGAATGCTGAGAACAACCCAAAGATGTCGATTACTCAAACTTTGACAGATCTGAAGAACATCAAGGTCCCACCTATCCGACCGGGCAGTTGAAATGCCAAAGTTGTTATGCAGTGACTCAACTAACTTTTGTGTCAGTTATAATGGTATGCAAGTACGATAACAAANCTTTACAGAGTGCGCCATGAATAGGGTAACAAAATAACTTGGCTACAGAAACAGCAATTCATATTGATACATAGTGAATTTATGTGAACTATTTACTATGCATCGCATCCACGAAACGAACACACGGTCATCTCATATAACCGTCTCCTGCACTAATTATACCTCGAAAACGCTTCGGCTTCTCAGCGACGGTGCCACACAGACTATCTCGAGAAACTTTAGCCTTGATTTTTCCCAACGATTTCTTAGGAGCATCAACAGCGGTGCGTTTCGAAGCGCAGGCTTTCTTCTCCAGAATGGGCTATATCCATCGATCCACCACATTGTGGTCCGGAAAATTCGTATAAGGATTGGAATGAGGGATATGATCGCGAACATGTCTCGATCTTTTCCCATTCGTGAGCAAGTGCGCCGCTGATCTCAAATCGGACCCCTAGAAAAAGCTTTGACCCTCAGCTGCATTGTTTCAGAACATCCCTTCTCAAAGAGATTTGAATAAATTTTGTACTTTTCTAGGCCAAAAATTGTGACAACGCTCTGATGGTAGAGATTCTAGCCCAAACCATCATGAAAAAGGGAAAATCGCGTTGAGAGGCGATCTGACTCTTTTCAAGGACTAAGCACTCGTAGTGTGATATATACATATACTTTGGGTTCTCAACATTTCTTCCACACTGATCGCCCTTTAGTCAAAAAAGGTGTCGAAGCGCGTGCCGCGCGCAAGGGCCGCACGGCATTTGTTTTTTCCTCCAAACTCTTCACGTCAAGAAGCTTATGAGCTTTCGAATCTCATTTGGATACAGTCGCAATTACTTTGAAAAGATACAAACAATTCAGCAGTCATTTGTCTCGTGTTTCTGCAGGTTCCGCACGTACACCGTCCCAAGCAATTGTACTCGGAAAAGGGGTCGTATGCAAGACAAGACGACCATTTTTATTGACCTGTCTTTGCAACGCGATTCAAGAGACTGACATGTGGGAAAAATTAAAGCGAGGGACGAACCCGAAAACGGACTCGTCAAATGCGCTCAAAGACGGAACCGTCGGTGGATGTCTGCGACGGTCCACCGTTCCTCGAAATATGACGAACTGAGAGTATCAAAGTAGATATGTGGGCTAAGGTATATAATAAACATAAGGGGAGGTGCAGCTCTAAAAAACCCTTCAAACAAGGAAATCATGGTTGTTCGGAAAGTTTTACCATATTTATGGCGCCCAGCTGATCTACGTTTTGCTCATTTTCGATAAGGTTCAGCGTCTGACAATGAAAGGGAAAGTGGCAAGAAAAGGATACAATGAACAGAAAAACAGAAAACAATAATATCACAGTATGATGAATGAAAAGTGAGACATACTTGATCAGAAGTCTCCTTGAACAGCGCGAAATAGCGTTGATCTGATGATAACATGTACTGGTGATGTGTCAACTGCAATACAATGGGGACAACATGGTAAGTGCCTTCTAACTTTATATGAAGCAATGTGCATAACAACATAGACTCTACACTTTATATTATGAAACTGAAGATTTGGCATATAAGTAATATATAACTGACTTTAAAAAGTATTGCTGCCAGTAAAATATTTACTCATTTACGTCACTTCGAATTTCCTTAACTTCGGTTCCGATACTAGCAAGCACAATCAATCAAAGGCAAACCCGGCAGGGGTAGGAAGGACAGCATTTTCAAAAATAGGACTGTCAAAGAGTTCGTTTGCTAGATGTATGATGCACACTTCGTTCGCTACATGTTCCTGGGAAGAACGCAACCGAGCAGGACTTATCTCACTTGTCGTTAGAGCGAATGGTCAAAGCAAAGCTTCATTGCGATTCCTATCTCATGCAGAGGTGCCCCTTCATTTTCGATTTCAACAGGCAGTGTACGGTCAAAAAATGCAAACGGTTGCTAGCCCACTTGAATGTAGACACATTCCTTCACCATTTCTCTCACAATAGATTTTTCACGACAAAACCAATCCCCTAAAAGTAAAATAATGATCGGATTGTCACCTGTCACCTGTCGTCCCGTTGATCATCGATTTCCTAGAGCGGGCGCCAGTAACGTCTCCATTCGTCCCTGTCACGAGCCAGAGTGGTCCAGTGGATCGTCCTCGCTTCAGGGACACGAGGTTCAACATTCCTTTCGTTCAGAGCTTTCGTGAAAAGTCTGACCATCTCGTTGGCGGCCATCCTGGAGTTCGCCCGTCCCGTCGATGTCCCGAGGGATCCAGTCAGTAACCGCCGTGGTCCAACGGTCATCACTTTATCGCATAACGTGTTTTCTTGGCGTAATCAACGGCATCCCTGATCTTCGTTCGCTAATGGAGCTCAGAACTCAGGAAAGACGGAAAGAAGAAGACAAAGAAGAACCGACTCCGCGCCCACCTTTTCGACACAACTGTCCTTCCTGCTTTGACGTACGCCTCGGAGACTTGGACTATATGAGAGCAGGATGAACATGCTGTCAGCGTTACTGAACGTGCCTTGGAAAGGACGATGCTCGGAATTTCCCTTTACACACAGGGAGCCCATAATTTTGGTAAACCCTGTATATCTTTGACCAGTCGGGCCGCCCGGCTAACGCCCCCGGTTGCGCCGGGTGCTCCTCCTTCCTGAGAGAAATTTGCTATGCGTAAATAACACTTCGGATTCTCCTTTTTCTTCGAAAGCTCTGCACCCTCAGTAATAGCTCCGAATTGGGAGCGATTTTTTCCGAGCCATCTTCGCTGTGTCCGAATAGAACATCGCATAATATCACAAAGACGATTATTCAGAGAAAAAAGTATTCAGAGACTTCATCGCGGCTGAGTCTACTATGCTAGCTACCATCAATGTTCCCAACCAACTCCTTGTGCTTTCAAGCTTCAACGGTCTGGATCCGAACCAACAGTATTTATGCACGCCGAGCTCTTTGGGGCGGAGTTTAGTCTTGCACCCTATCATCGGTATTCCTATCCTGCCTTCTATCTTCCTACCGAGTTTGGTCGCTCTAGGTTCATTCTGACATTTCTCTGCAAGCCCGCCCCTGGAGGAGAAATGATTTTCCGCTCGAACTCCACCCATTGTGGGCAGAGGTCGTGGCACACACCGTGTGTGTTCCCATCCTGCCGCCTATACTCTACCAAATTTTAACGCCGTAGGTCCTCGGGGTTAGGAGTTATGAGTTTTCGCCCAAACCCCGCCCACAGCGGGCGGAATCCGATAAGCGTTCCCATGCTGCAGCCTGTACTCCTACCAAGTTTGAGCGCTTGAGGTCCACGAGGACAGAAGTTAAGACCTTCCGCTCAAACATTTATCTCGCACATACCCCGCCCCCTGTGGGCGGAGTCCGGCCCAGCCACCCACCATTGGTGTTCCTATCCTACCGCCTGTACTCCTACCGAATTTAAACTCCCTAGGTCCAGGGGAACCTGATTTGTGAATGTCCGGACAAACACACACACAGACAAACCAACAGACACACTTAGCGCGTTATATATAGTAATATAATACCAGATCTCCGTTTTCGAAGTGATTTTTCATTGATGGTGATAAATTTAAAAATAATTTCATTCCCTCTCACATTCATTGAAGTAAGGAAGGTAGAAGTAGTAAATAATGTTCATGAAGATCCCGATGTAACACAATAATTGGAGCGCAAACCCAGATAAGTATGATTTGTTTACGATGATACAACGCTTTATACCTACCAAATCACCTTTATCAAGCAACAATTCGCTGGTCATTAGTTTTGCAGACAATCGAAGCACACCGCTATTCAGGTTTTCATAAATGATGTCGTCCAGACCACTCCATCGCACATTAACGATCGAAGATCGAAGTTTGCTCATGGTTGTCAGATTTATTTGCGTTCGAGTGGGATCCACAGATGCTGACACTGAAATGAACAAACTCTCAACATCCTCCTTGATTTACCACGATCGGACGTTGACCGAGGAATTCACCTGTGATGCGTGTGCTACAGCACTCGCCGTAAGAACTCAAAAATTCGTGCTAATACCGCAAACTCGCGTCTTTTTTCTTTACTTCATAAGTCGGTTCAAAGTGGAGTATTCCAGGAGCTGAAGCTACAGTTGAATTCAGCTCGCCGAGCTCTATGAGCTGATACCCTGAAGTTTCAAAATTGCCTCGTTTGGGAGTGCTCCCATTCATACCGCCTCACACGCCTACCACTACAGTACCCCGCCTCCTGCTGATCTTGCCCTCCACTTAGATAATCAGTAATCCAATCAACCCCTCTCTCACCACTTTGGTACACCGCCACCTGCGGATTTTCCGCAAGTACAGTACCCATTCAAAAGCCCCCAACTTCCCGCCAGCAAAGTACCCACCCACCTGCAAATCCAGCTCCCCATTCGAGTAGTTACTATTCAAAACTGCCTTCAGTTTCCGCCAATACGGAACCCTGCGAGTCAAAGTCCCCCAAAGTCATCATTCAGACTCTGCGCCACCACAGTACCCGGCCACATACGTATACAAACGCGCACAGCAGGAGACCGCTCAGCGCCAGGCATAGGGCAGAAAGTGGATATGAAGGAAGGATTTCATCGCGGATTGACCCATATATCATTCGATAGCATTTTTCACGGGGAATTTTATTGTGTACAATTCAGCTGCGAAAAAGCCAAGAAAAAGGCCATCATTCTGTGATTTGAGTCTGACGAAGCTCGAAGTTTGGGGCTATACCAAGGAAAGTTTTGATCTATGATAAGGTGTACCGTGACAGTCTTGCAGAGAACAAGGAGTTGTCCGCGGCAATACAGTGCTTCAACACCACCTCCTCAGATCTCAGAAAAAATCTCTCCAAAGTTTAGAACATGTCAAAAAATCGACTCTATTATTTTGCCGTAAAATGGTGTCGTATTCTTAATGGAACCTGGGAGGGGGAGTGACGAGTGCAGACTGTAGATACAGTCATCTACAGTACCAAAGTGAACGATGGAGACTGAATAATATCGATCAATCATTTTCAAGTTGAACTGAGTAAAGTCGAGTATGTGGTGCACCCCAAAGCGGATTCTGAATACTTCATCCTCAGGGAGCATCAGCCCCTACAAGGGCTGAAGCGTGCACCCCTCGTATGTATATGCAATTACTTTTCAGGTGGAACTCAAGTGCATGGAGCAAACCAAAACGAATCATTCTCAACACTTCAAGATATCAACTCATAAAGCTCGACGACCTGAGTTCAACGTTATCTTCAGTCCCTGGAATACTCGACTTTGAACCGATTTATGACGAAAACAGAAATTTGCGAGTTTGCGATATTAGCACAAATCTTCGTGGTTACGGCGAGTACTGTATTTGTGACTGCTTCAGGTTATGCACTTATGGTATTCCGGTTATTGTGTATTCCTTCAATTATTTTTTATTTATTTGTGTACCGATCAGTCGCCGAGACATGAAAAAACAGAAAAGGAATTGGAAAACCTTCGACATCAACAAAAATTACTAAAGAGAACCAGACAAAGTGGGAAGAACTAGACGAAAAAAAGACTCAGGAAAGAAACCGATATTACAGCATTACATATTTTCATAGAAAAGGGGAAGAAGGCCAGCATCCCCTATTCGTGGCATGCTCAAAATTCTAGGTAGCGAACGCAGTGAAAACATTGCAAAAGTGTGCAGTGCGTCTACAACAGAGGAAACGAGTAAAATAATAGTAGAAAGTGAAAAGTGTTAGGGATAACATCCCTCAACCACCTTTATTGATATTGCTTTGCTAATGTTGGATAACAAAATATCAGGTTGGCAAATAAGTCCTGCGACAAAATGGGGACCTTTTTTAAATCATTGCTAATTTTTTTCATATCAATCAATTTTTGTAAAAATATTCACTAAAGGATTCAACAAACTTCTTTAATCCTTTGAGCCAATAACTGATGCCATCTCTTCAGGAGTGAGGGAGCTGTGACTCAAAGAAGTAATTGACTACCGTTTTTGGATCACATTAAGTTACGAAATTCTTTTCCACAACGGAATGCTCAAAAAGGGAGAGCACATGGTAGGTAAAAGGGGGAACACTCCGGGAGTAGGACTGATCTGGAACCAATCGGGATCGGTGAACTTTTGACATGGGTCTGAAGCGAATTTTCGACATGTGTTGTCCCTCTGTAGCTTGACTTACGGTTTGATCGCCCTTCTCTAATCCCGTTGGCCAAATTAAGGGGATCATAATGGCAAGCGATAGCTGTGTCCATCCAGTCTGCGTTTAGCAACACATAGTGGATGAATTCCTTCAACATCCATTAAATTAGGGGATGATGCTTGCTGTACCCCTAGAGCTGGTATCTCCTGCAGTGAAGCGATCCAACCGATTGTTGACCGTCGATCGGTGAGAAGTGCTAGCATCGAATAGATTGCTGATATTTCGAGCCGCTACACCCGCGTTTTTTCCTTGCCATGCTTAGTATACTGTGATGGTACAAATCGTGTGTTGTCAATTCATTGACCGTAAAGCTCTGAAAGCCCACACGCGTGCCCTTATTTACTTAAGTATTCATTGCCTGAGGAATTTCCTACAAGTTTATGACCCTTGCTAACGTGTTCACACTGTTGATACGAATTTTCAACGCTTTAAATTCTTTGTCGCAGGATTTATTTGCTAACCTAATAGCAAGCTACCTTCGTTCATTTTTATGAAGCGGTAAGATCGAGCTCAGGTTGCAAGAGCAAACCAAATGCGGCTATTCCCCCATCCCAACTTGCTTTATACACTCTACGTGCAGCACATTGAGCAATTTGGAAAGCTCTGAGCTCAAGCTCGTTTTTGGTATTAAGGGCCTAATCGAGTGGTCCTAACTGACTCCACAAATCTGTATCATAAATCGTTGAAGTAAAGCGCACAAACAGAACACATACAGAATTAAACCTGTCACGGTGTATTAAATAATCCAGTTGCGCGAGCAAACGCAACAGCAAACCATCGCATAGGCGTGGTAAACTTTCAGTCAAAATTTGTGATGAACCTCATGTAAGAGGCACATCCCGAGAGACCAAGTGCATTTGCACAATGTGTTCAAGGCGTGACTCATATTTATCGCTACTCTCTGCGATCATTATGCTTATCCGTACACCATTTTGGTCACTCTGAGCAGTTCCGAACTGCACTTTGATGTAGAATCAGCTGATTAGAAGATTTTGAACATAAAAAGTACAAATACAAGTCCGAACTCTGTTTGACGACTTGCATTTGCAGACCAAGGGTACGACAATATCCGGCGAGCGAACTGAGCAAGGAAAGCTTATTTTCACCACACGAGTGAAATCATTAATTCAATCATCCTACTATATATAACGCGCTAAGTGTGTGTGTGTGTGTGTGTGT